ACGTGGATCCTGAGAAACTTAACAGAAGACCGTGGGGGAGGGGAAGGGGGAAAAAAGTTAAAGAGAGGGAGGGAGGCAAACCATAAGAGACTCTTAAATACTGAGAACAAACTGAGGGTTGATGGGAGGTGAGGGAGAGGGAAAAGTGGGTGATGGGCATTGAGGAGGGCACCTGTTGGGATGAGCACTGGGTGTTGTATGGAAACCAATTTGATAATTATATTTAATATAAAAAAATAAATAAAATTTAAAAAGTCCCTTCAGTGATTCTTCACTTGACAAAATGACCTTTTATTTTAGAAGATAATTTAATAAATATTTAATTTATTAGTATTTAATAGAATTTGATAAATAATAAGTAAAATATTAATAGTAATGAGTACCAACTCATTGAGTGCATGTTATATACCTGTCACTGTGCTAAGCACCTTACATGCTTTGGTTCATTCAATCCTTAGTACGACCATACAAGGTAGTTATTAATTTCTTTACCCACTTAAGAGGGTGAAAACTAAACCCTGGAGAGGTTAAACAAATCGTCTAAAGTCACTTAGTTAGTGGTAGATCCCAGAGATGAACTCTGTCTCCAAAACTTGTGCTCTTAACCAGCATGCGCATGCTGCCATATTTGCGAATTTTCCCTTATGTGGTAAATCTCCCTTGCAGCATTAAACTATATTGTATTAACCCAGCATGATGCTAGCACATAAAAATCCAAAAGGGTTTTTTTTTATTTTTTTTATTTTTTTTTAATTTTTTTTTTTAAAATTTTTTTTTCAACATTTATTTATTTTTGGGACAGAGAGAGACAGAGCATGAACGGGGGAGGGGCAGAGAGACAGGGAGACACAGAATCGGAAACAGGCTCCAGGCTCTGAGCCATCAGCCCAGAGCCTGACGCGGGGCTCGAACTCACGGACCGCAAGATCGTGACCTGGCTGAAGTCGGACGCCCAACCGACTGCGCCACCCAGGCGCCCCAAGGGTTTTTTTTTTTAAATGGATAAATTCAGGAAGACTTATGTAGAGAACAGGAAGCTGAATTATTATAATATTTCACTTATCCCACATCCTTATGACATTTTTTTAGATAAACCAGTTTTCTAGATAACTGAAATTAAACCATTTAAGGATATATTTTTATTTTCACAAAATCTTTCTGAAGTGTATTTCATTCTTTATTTCTTTAGTAGTATGACCATCCTAATATATTACCTTAATGACAAAGAACTATTGTTATAAGAAACAGATGTTGTATATAGTATTTATTTACTATTTCCTTTTGGATTGTGGTTTTAATTACCATCTATATGCTGAGGAAGCCCAAATCTTTGTCTCCAACCAGGATTTCTCTCTTGACTTTCAGATCCACATATATCCACACTACCACTTGACCCTGCAAGTTCAAAATGCCCCAAAGACCCCTAAATACACCCAGACCCTCAGATCTGCATCTCCAGAATTCTTCTCTTAGTGGGTCTACTCTCTACGCACAGAGATAGGCATAATGTTTGATGACTCCTTTTCTTTCACTAATATTCCCTAATCAGTAAATTAACAAAAGTCCTCTTGATTTTACCTCCTAAATATCGCTCAAATATCATCACATTTCTGTCTCCGTCCATTGCCTTATCCTACCATTATTATCTTTAATGTTAACAACCCTCTAAATGGTGCCCCTATCTATAATTCTACCACAATCCAATTTATTCTCCATACTATTTTTTTTTTAACTAGAAGTCTGATTGTGTCACATCTCAGTTTGAAAACTTTCAATAGTTCACCACTGCTCATGGGATAAGGTTTGAATGTCTTCAATATTGCTTACAAAGCCTTCGATGATTTGAGACTTTCTTGCCTTTCTGTATCTTGTCATCCCTTTTTACCTGTCCCTCTCACCGAGCACAACCAGGTCATATAGAACATTCCCATCTACACATTGTGTATTCTCTTGCTTCTGGGACTTTGCATGTGTTGTCTGGAGAACCCCTGACCCTTCCATCTAAGGTAGATATCTCTCATACTCACGAACACAGCACCTATTTCTGCTTGTAATATTGTGGTTAAGTACCTACTTGTTTCTCTATATTGTCTTCTCTTCTGCCTCCCTCAAGGCCATTGGGGCTGGAAGATGGAACCCATGCCCCACATGTTCACCTATATCCCTAGTACCTAACTCTGTGTCTAGAGCGGAGTTGGCACTAATATTGTTTAAGTTTTAGTATAGTATTAGATTTATAGAAAAGTTACGAGGATAGTACAGCGTTCCCTGGCACCCAGTATTCCCTATTGTTAACATCTTACATTAGTATGATCCATTTGTCACAACTAATGAACCAGTATTAATACCTAATTATTAACTAAAGCCATGCTATTCAGATTTCCTTAGTTTTTTGTTGTTTTTTTTTAAGTTTATTTATTTATTTATTTTTTTAAAGGCAAGGGGACAGATTCTCTCCTAGAGCTTCCAGAAGAGAACATAGCCTTCTTAATGCCTTGGGGTTTTTTTTTAGGTTATTTATTTATTTTGAAAGAGAGGGAGTGCAAGTGGGGAAGGGGCAGAGAGAGAGAGAGAGAGAGAGAGAGAGAGGGTGAGAGAGAGAATCCCAAGCAGGCTCACACCACCAGTGCAGAGCCCGACGCAGGGCTCAAACTCACTGACTCACAAACCAATGAGACCACGACCTCAGCCAAAGTCAGAGCGTAACTGACTGGGCCAGCTAGGAGCCCCTACGTTTATTCACTTTTGAGTAATCTCTACACCCAACATGGGGATCAACCTCACAACCCTGAGATCGAGAATAACACGCTTTTCTGTCTGAGCCAGCCAGGTGCCCCCACTTTCTTTAGTTTTTAACCTAATGTCCTTTTTCTGTTTCAAGATTCCATCCAGGATACCACATTACACTTAGCCATGCCTCCTTCGGTACCCCTTGGCCATGACAGTCTCTCAGACTTTCCTTCTTTTTGGTGATCTTGGGAGTTATGATGAGTATTAGCTGGGTATTTTGTGGAGTATCCCTCAGTAAGAATTTGATGTTTCTAGCATGATTAGACCAGGTTGTAAGTTTGGAGGAGGAAGACCAAAGAGGTCTTTTTCGTTGCCATTTTCGTTGCATCATATTCAGGGTACATACTGTCAACATGACTTGTCACCATGATGTTAACCTTGCTCACCTAGCTGAGGTAGTGTTTGTCAGGTTTCTCTAGTGCAAAGTTACTGGTTCCCTCCCACCCCTACCCCCCAACTTTCCATTTTGTACTCAAGGAGTCACTGTGGCCTGCCTACATTTAAGGGGTTGACAGGCTCCGCCTCCTTGAGGGCAGAGTATCTACACAAACTATTTGGAATCCGTTGGTGCAAGAGATTTATATATTCTCCCCAACTTATTTATTCAGTCATTTATTTATATCAGTGTGCAATCATGGGTATTTATTTTATACTTTGGGCAATAATCCAATATTTTGTTACTTAAGTGGTTCCAGCTTTGGCCACTGGGAGCTTTTCAGTTGGCTCCTGTGTTTATTTGATATATCCTCGATTTCTTTTGAGCACTCCTTTACTTTCTGGCACAAGACATTTCAGGCTCATCTTGAATATTCCTTACCCCAGCCCTAGAATCAGCCATTTCTCCAAGGAGCCCTGGTTCCCTTTATTGTAAACAATATGCACACCCATGATCTGGGCTCTGGGTAAGTACTAACAATTTTTCAGAAAAACTGGATCCATTTTTAGAAACCACAAAAAGCACAAAGACTAATGTATCTTCCCACCACCCAAAATAAGCCAATGTTTTTCTGCTTTGTTTTACCTCAGATCTATGTTAAGAAATAAAACACTTGAAGTTGAAGGTCATTTTCCCCCAGTGGCCTTTTCCCCAGTCCTAAACCCTGCCCTCCCCTCCCAGAAGCAACCACAATCTTAAGCTGATGTGCAGACACTTTTTTTTCAAGCATTCATGGAACAGCTACAGAAGCATATGTATTAAAGAAAAACCTGGCTCTTCTTCGGTCTGAGCTGCCCACATTCCCAGACTGTCCTGGCCGGTCGTTGTGTCTCCACCCTCAGCCACCATCTGTACACTCAGCTCCTCGCCTGCCTGGCCAGGGCAGCTGGGGCTCCGCTCGTCTCTTCTCTCTGTGGCTTCCAGCCACTCTCTTATCTGGTCTGTACCTTTCTGTCTCATCCTGACTTGAAACTGCGCTTCCTCCTTGTGGGGGGAAGAAGACCAATACTCTGCAGACTTTGTGAAAAGAAAACTGGAAACTGGAAATGGCTAGACAAATAGAAAATCTCACGGTTTCATTCACAGTGTGAAAAAAAAAAAAAAAAAAAAAAAGCAGAACAGGGCCGGGGACATAGGTTTCATTTATTTGGAGGGCGTGGCTCTTTAACATCTGATTTTTAGCTTAAAGACATTACCAGTTGCTTCTAATTATTTTCAAGTTGTACTTCTGGAAGGCTGAGGTTGCCAGATTTAAGATTACCAAATATCTGGAAATTAGGATAATTATGGATAATATGATTCTAAAAAAAGTAGGATAATATGATTCTTCATTTCTATTTTTCTTACAAATACTGTTCTTCAGAATATAGGAACAGGGACACCTGGCTGGCTCAGTCAGTAGAGCACCCAACTCAGGGTTGTGAGTTCAAGTCCCACATTGGGCGTGGAGCCTACTTTAAAAAAAAGTAAAAATAAGATAAATTTTAAAAATACAGGAACAATACCCAAAATAGAGAAAAATCTTACTATTGAAGAGACTGTTTATGAAACTAATTATTTCCCCATCAAGGGACTTACAATGAAAGGCTAATTATGTCATTACAAAGTAAAAGTCTTTGGCCATGATCTCCATCCACCAAACTGGATTGCTATGTGAGCAGTTCAGTTGATAACGTTCTGGGTGCTTTCTGTCTGCTTACTATGGTAAGCAGAAATCTCAGGTTTGGGATTTCCAGCTCCATTAATAGTAAATATATTAAATTTGTTCCCACAGCTGACACTTACGCTGACAAAGGCAAATTCGGAAGCAGCTCCTTGAGGACAGTGTGGATAACACCTAATCAAAACCGGCACAATGAAGCACTTCCTGCGGTAAGTATTTATGGTTCCCTGGTTGAGCTCTCTAAAATGGAGAAACTTCCTTCCCAATTAGGATAATATTCCTGTTCACCATTTGGGATCCTATATCCAGGTCTCTTAGGATTGCATCAAACAGTATTGTATTTTGGCTAAGAATAATTTGGTCACAGGTTCCTCGGCTACCCCGTCTGCAAACCGATACGACGGAGCACTTAGCAGCAGGACGTGACACAAGACTGTAAGCCAGCACAGGTGTCAAAGCCTGGGGCAGGTGTGTTTTGGACAACCCGGATGCCATGTGTCTCTAAAGCATTTAGGATGACGTTTGAGGGATTAGTACCCAAGTAGTCAATATAATTTGTATAGAATTATTTTCCTGAGAAAAAGTAATTTTAAATATCCCTCAATTTAAATTTTGGTTGGCTGGCCATCCATGCGGGCATTTTCAAATGTTCCTTTTTGGTTAAAAAAAAAAAATATTCTAAGCTTTTGTTCCTCCTGACTCCTGATGCCTCTGAAATCTACATGAACCATTGGTTCCCTCAAGATTGTGCTGTATAGAGTAACATTTATGCTGGTGCGTTGTGAGGTGATACTGTTTTGTTTTGAAAGCCATTTGGCTGGACCTATGATTATAATTATTTTTACGAGTATTTAACTGCCATTCACAATCTAATGAAATTCCCAGAGAAATTTTACATCTTATTAAAATACAACAAAATAGTCTCCAAAGTTATTCTGGTCCCCAAAGTTAGAAAGCAGTACACACTTCCCAGAAGACTGAGTTTCTTTTCCCCAAGATGGGCTACCTCTATGACACTTTCTGACCCCTGGTGGGCTTAATTCTTTGAGAAAATGGTTTCTTTCAGTGGCTGCCATTTACGATTTTCTTTTCCTCACTGATTTGGATTGCATCACTGTGTCTGGAACACCTACATCACTTTGTGTGCAACTCACTGTTTTGGTGGGGTCTTAGAAGTATGAAAGCTCTCAGGAGGTCACTATTAAACCATTTATAGGCATTAGGTTTCGACTGACTGTACAGAATAGTCCTCAGCCTGTGTATCTCAGCTGTGCAAAAGGACAGTACTTGAAAAAGCACTAGGACATTGGCCAGCAGAGCACTGACCTGACATGGTTTGGGTTGCCATGGGAATTAACCCACCTGTTTACACATTCACGAAAAATTGGTATTTAGGAATCCCTCCTGAATGTAAACATGGTGTCTTTTCGTTGTAGAAAGCTTTCGGGTTACACGGAGCTGAGAGGTCAGGAGCTCCTTTTGAAAAGGGGGAGATGATAGTGATGACGTCTGTGGCAAGACTTACAGTACTAGTAGGATTTCCTCTTCAGGCTCTTACTTTAGAAAAACTTGAGCAGCCTCAAAACCAGCCATTTCGGGAGAAATGGTAGCACTTGTTTCTGTTAGTTTTAAGCTGAATAGCTGCAACACTGGGTTTAGAAGAGACTGGAGTATTTTACAATTAGTGTTTGAGATTGAGATGTGGCGTGGTAAGAATCTGCTGTAACTTCACACAGGCCAGTGCCAAGAATAACAGAACTGGCACGTTGCAGTCACTTAGGTGTTCTGATATAAATTCTTCTCTTTTAACGGGACACATATTTTATACATATTACTTGATATCAATTATTTATATGACACTGAAGCTAGGGTAACAGATTACGTATCAAGAAAGAAATTTGAGGATTTCCATTGACCTTTGGTTTTGAAGTCATAAAAGGAAACTCGATCACTGCCGTCCTTAGTTGATCGTTGCTTTTGACCTTCGTTTGTGTTTTTAATGCTTCTTAGTAAGTTATAATGTGTGTGTATTCATTATACGTTGGTGTTTATGGAATCTGGAAGGGCAACAGGGCAAGGAGTAATAACCCTGAATTGTAAACCCTATCGGGTCATTTAGATTGCCTTTTCTCCCCACTGTAGTCCCCTCCCACAGATGTGGTGCAATTTTGACAATCTTTTCACTTGAACCAAAGAGGTTATGTAAGCATAGCCTGAACAAATTAGGCATTTATTCCTGAGCTCAGCAATACATTATGCAGAATAAGGAACTGATTCTGAGAAGAATTCAGCATTATGTAAAAGCCCACAGAGTGGTTAATCTGTCAACCTCTGAGTTGTTCTAGAATGAAACACTTCAGCTATAGCTCCAGAAGAAACGAGGTTAATCTTAAACCGAGCTGTGGAAAAAATGGATTTTAATCCACATATAAGTTACATGGTACCCAACTCCGCTCTTTCTAGCTCACTGCTGCAATCGGATCTATTAATGGTGTACCACTTAGAGCAATACAGAGTGGAGAAAATATCTGATTAAAAAAATACTATATATTAGAAATAATATATATATATAATATATATATAGAAATATATATATATATATTATATATATATATATATAATATATAATGCTCCAGGATTAGTATAGCAAGCTGAAGGGTGTATTTTAAATTAAAGTAAGAGTAGATACAGGATAATGGATAAGTAGCCCGTGGTCGCTCAGTGACTTTTAGCCATGGTCTGCATTAAAAAAATACAAAGATAAAATGGAGAAGTGTGTTTATGTGTGATCAGAAAAAGAGGGGGCACTTTTTTTTTTTTTAATTTTTTTTTTCAACGTTTATTTATTTTTGGGACAGAGAGAGACAGAGCATGAACGGGGAAGGGGCAGAGAGAGAGGGAGACACAGAATCGGAAACAGGCTCCAGGCTCTGAGCCATCAGCCCAGAGCCCGATGCAGGGCTCGAACTCACGGACCGCAAGATCGTGACCTGGCTGAAGTCGGATGCTTAACCGACTGCGCCACCCAGGCGCCCCTGAAATTATGTTTTTTTACAGTAATCAGAACAGTATTAATTTTGAAATTTTCTCATAAAGGGAATCTTTTAAGTTTATTTATTTTGAGGGGAGGAGGGGCAGAGAGAGAGAGGAAGAGAGAGAATCCCAAGCAGGCTCCATGCTGCCAGCACAGAGCCCAGTGTGGTGCTCAATCTCAGCAACTGTGGGATCATGACCTAAGCCGAAATCAAGAGTCAGATGCTAAGCCACCCAGGCGCCCCAAGGGAATCTTTTAAGTCACCCATATAAATGATTGCTTCCAACTATCCCAGCCTCAGGGTCTCACTTTCTTGGCTGTGGACTTCACTGTGTACCTTCTTCCTTCCTTGGGCAGAAGACAGGGAAAGAATGTATTTGTCACACTCCCACCTTCTTGGGAGAACTTTTGAGAAATAAAAGTTACACCGAAGTCCTGACTGTAAAGCAACTGAGGGGAACAAAGAGTATTTTGCTGCCGTCATTAGGTAAATAAAGGCTCCCAATTAGCAAAAAATACTGTAAATTGGTTTTTTAAGTCATTCACACTTGATTAGTATCTCCGTCCACTGATTCATTTAGTGAGCACATACTGCTAATAATTCTAGTACTGTACCACATTTTTAATTCTTACTTTCTCTTTATTACAATTGTAATAAAGTACGAATCGCTATCCCATAGTACAGAGCAGGGCAAGAAGGCTTCGCAAGGTGAAGTACCTCATCCAGGGGCACACAGATATTTGAACGAGGCCCGCCTGACCTCAAAGCCGTTTCTCATCGTTTCTGCAGAGTCCTCATGTGTGACTGTGGTGAGGCATTGTGGGGGATATGACAGGAAACACGAGGTGGCCTCTGCTCTAAAGGAACCTACCACTTGCTAGGGAGAATGTGCTAGGCCCATGGACACAGAAGTCACAAGTAAGAAGGACTGTGATCGCCGACACACATGCATGTTACTGTATACATATGTACATAAATATGCACGCACGCATATGACGTGCACACACAAGCACACACACATGTGCACCTACACATACACATATTTTAAATTATTTTGTTCCCTGCGCTAAAACAAAACAGCAACAACAAACTGTTTCCACACCCTTGTTGAAATATGTTAGCCTGAAAGGTGTTCTAGGCAGTTTCCCGTGGGTGAGATTTTCAAGGCCACCCCTTGGGCCACTTCACTTTCATGAAGCTCGTCATCCAGAGCATGAGGCCAGGGATACTCAGTGTCAGTTTGAATTTCACTTCCTTAACTCTTGTATGTTTGTCTTTTGTTCCGAAGTGGAGGGGGCGGGGGGGGGTGCCCTCATGTTCCCCGTTGTTTTTGCCTCCTTATTAGGATGATCAGGTCAGCAGGGGTGGGCTTTCCCCATCCATTCTCAGAGGAAGGTACTTTCTCTCCTTTGCGTCTCTAACTAACACTCTGGGCGATTTCTTGGAGAGGACTGTCACACTGTTCTTGTTTTGATGGTCATTTTCCTTGCCAGACTGGAAGCTCTTTGTGGACAGGGATGGCATGTGATTTGCAGTGAAACTAAGCTCTTGACTCACATTCCCTTCTTCCCCCGGCCACGCCCTGTCCTGTCCTTCACAGCCTGTCTTCTCGTTTTGTATCTGTAAACTACCTTTCAGTGACCATCTGTCATTTTTCCCCCACAGATTCACTTCCAATCTCTTTCCTGCAACTACTCTAGGTCTTTAACTCAACAGAAATTAATTTATTCATAATACTGAGAACATCCTCTACCCTGCTCCTGACGGTTACTACACATTTTTAAAAATTCTCTTATGCAGTGAATCCATAACAGTAACAGGCCCACTGCTTCTCCCCCTAGAACATTTTGAGGCCTATGATGGATGATGACTTTCTTTTATTTATAGATTTACTTTTCATTCTCTTTAAAATATTTTTATCTACACTAAAAGTTTATATTTGAGATTATGTTTAAATAGTCTTTTTAGTTTCTTTTTAAAAATGCTTTTTAAATGTCAAAGTATAATGTGTTTGTTGATTGCCTTATAAATAAGTCAATGTAAGTATTCTCCAAACAGAAAAACAAAAAATCTGAATCTTAAAAATAAGTTTTATAAAAAAAATAAGTTTTGGGGCGCCTGGGTGGCACAGTTGGTTAAGCGTCCGACTTCAGCCAGGTCACGATCTCGCGGTC